TATGAGGAGTGGCTGTGCCGAGGGCCAGTTTACAGATGGAAAGGCAGACGGTTACCCCGGAAAGGAATAAACTCCTTTTTTTTGGTACTGTTTGAAGAGGTGGGAAAACGAAATAACCCGACTCATACTGAGCTCCAGCATGGAATGGAGGGAAACACTGTTCCCTCTTGGGAGCATGCAAGTGAGACATTGGTATCAAATGTGGGAGTTCCCACAGTTCTGGGGCAGGCGGTCTCTCTCCTGGTGTGCTGACCTGAATGCTGCTGTGTTATTTTCCTTCCCCCGGGCGTTAAGAGACGGGCCCTTCCCTGCCTGAACCATTCGCTTTACTCTTCAAGCAACAAAATGGGCTTTGGCAGCGTTGACTGTTTCTGGGGCACAGCGAGAGTAAGTTTGTGTTTGCAAGAAAGCGCTTGTCCTGGCAGTTAAAAAAACCTGCTAAAGGCGTCTTAGGGGCGCAGTTGCACTTGCTCCCTTCCCAGCGCCGTTGTTGCCTTGACGCGATGCACTCCAGCTACTTAACGAACGGGCAGCCCTCCGTGGAACGATTCCCCATCAGCTTTAAAACCCACTTCTCAGGGAACTGTTTTCATCACGTGGTGCTCGGGATTTACTGCAACGGCCGGTACGGCTCCCCCCGCCGGCGATGGACAAACCTCTAACGTACCGAACTCTGAGCGACCTCATCTTTGAATTTGAAGACTCCTATAAAAAGTACTTGCATTCGGTCAAAAAAGTAAAAATCGGGTTGTATGTCCCGCATGACCCGCACAGCTTTCAGCCCATCGAGTGGAAACAGCTGGTCCTCAACGTATCCAAAATGATGCGCACAGAAGTCAGGAAGGAACTGGAGAAGTTTGCCAGGGATATGAGGATGAAGGTAGGTCCACGTGCTGGGGCGGTGGACTCGGAGGTGGGTGGGCCTTGTCCCATCCCGTGGATTTGCTCCATGTCAGCAGGCTGACCCCGGCCTGCAGTCAGGTAGCTAGGGGTGTGCTTACGTCTGTCCTGGTGGATCTCCCACGTGGTTTGGTGTGGTTTCAAGCCCTTCTAGCTATTTTGTAGCTCAAAGATCTGCCCTTCAGCCTGGTAAACACTTCAGCCCACACTCGTCCCTGGCCATCAAGTTGCTATTGCCCAGTTTGGTTTTTCCCCTGACTCTGGAAGAAGGTGGCTGGGAAGAAGCAGTGTGCCTGTGGCTGGTGGGATGGGTGGCCTGGTTGCAGGTAAGGGTCTCTGCTCTTTGCACCTGAGCTGCAGTGGGTGCCATGGGAGAGCCGTGTCAGTGGCTGCCTCTCCTTGCAGGGTATGCCAGTGGGCTTGCCATGCACCACGTGGTGCCCACCACCCTCGGCTAAATCACCGAGTAGGTTATGTGGGAAGGGTGAGGAAAGCAAGTCTCTGACAGGCTGGTACTTCCCCGCTAGCCGGTTGGATGGAGCATGGAGGGAAATGACTGGGAGACAGGGCGGGCTGCCAGGGAGCTGGAGGGTTTGGCTGCCCTTGGGGATGCGGGGTGTCCCTGACCATGCCTCCGGGGCTGGCGTGGGTGAGGAGCTGTTTGTGGTCACGGTGGAAGGGGATCTGGTGCCTTTCCAGCCGGCTGCTGGCAGTGGGAGCAGAGCAGGTGTGTTGCTAAGTATGGGGCTGGCTGTCACGGAGAGGCATGCGGCATCGTGTCCAAGTTATTCTGGGTTCCCATCCCCTGCCCTGCTGAGGAATGGCTCCTACGTAGCAGCCACGTGCCTTTTTGGCTGAGGCACCTGCCCCCTCACCCTGACCTTGGGGGGAATGCTGCCAGCGGCATCACAGTCCTTACGTCCTGCTGCTGCCTCTCCTGCCTTGCCAAGGAATTTTGAGGGCCAACTCCTGTTGTAGTCACCTTGAGCACATGTGCTTTTCCCCCTCTCTTTCTCTGTTCGCTTGCTTTTAATACCATCTAGAGAGCGAACAGCTGAGGCTGGCTCTAGTTGAAGGAGTGGGTGGATGGATGTTTGTGCTGAACTGTGACGCTGGGTCCTTGCGAGTGCCTCAGCGCCAAGGCACGGCTCCGAACCCTTGGAGGCTGAAGGTCCTGCATCTGACTCTGCCCTTGGGTTAATTCAGAACATCAGCCGCTTCGTTGAGGGGCCTGATTTTGGAGGATCAGGGCTTAAAGTAGCCCGGAGTGTGAGCGTTGAGCTGGTGTAGTTCTGAGGTTCGAGGGCCTGGGGCAGGCATGCAGAGGGACAGGAGGCCTGCTGAGAAGTCCCACGGTCACAGAGTTCAACCACCAGCCTGGGTGATGGTCACCTCTTTGCAGAGAGTGCGGTTTGGCTGTGTGTGTTTCCTTCTGCTAAGGCTCAAAGCTGCTTCTCATATCCCTGGCTGTTGCCAGCTCTGAAGGCAGCTATGGATGAGATCTTTTCTTCAAATTTGAGCTGGGGACTGAATTGGTGACACCAACTGATTTTTTTTTTTTTTTTGAGGGGTCCCCTGAACAGCTATCACATGGTAACAGCTTTGGATCCCTCTTTACCTGGGCAGGGGTTGAATAAACCCATAGGGACTGAAGGCTCTTTGTCTGCCATCTCTACTGCTGCATGAATCCTAGAATCACAGAA